GGTGAGAAAGCCCAGGGGTGAGTGCTTGCGCTAACGGGGGGAGGGTATTTGTCTCCAGAACCCAGGGGTTTGGTGTTCATTCCCACACAGGGGTAATAAATGAAGCTTTGGGAGGTAGGGAATTGGAACTGAGTACTTTGCATAAAGCCAAGACCCTTAAAGGACTCTTTTATTTATGAAAAGATTTAAAAACAAGAGAGACCACAGGACACAGGGCTTTGGGTTGGAAAAAAAGAAAAGCTCTCTGAGAATTCAAAACCACAGGACCACAATTCACATTGCTTTTACTCTACCCACATAGTTCAGAAACTCCAGACTCAAATGTAACAAAGAAGAATTGAGCCCACACCCCCAAATATTATGGGATTTTACCCAGGAAAAAAACCCACAAGCCCTGCTAAGGAGGAGTTCACAACAAAAAACGGCAGAGCCCATGAGGGAACGATCCAACCTGATCAAGAGTCTGCATATAGAATTATACCCCCAGGAACGCTAAACACAGAGAGATAGCCAGAAAGAGATTATCAAAGAAATACATATAAAATGAAAACTAGAAAGGAAGAAAACAAATCCTAAAAGAACTAAACCCTATGAACAAAAGAGCCAGCAGGATTGAAAAAGATAAAATAGGAGAAAGCCCATCATGTATCTTAGAATAAATCTTTTTGAAAAGATTGTAATGATAATGAAAAATTCTTTATTAAAAGACATTAGAGAAGACTAAACTAATTGGAAAAAAATACACCATGTTTATGGATAGGCAGACTCGATATAGTAAAGATGTCAATTCTCTCCAAGTTAATCTATAAATTTAAGGCAGTTCCCAGCAAAATCCAACAGATTTCACAGAAATCCTAAAATGTACAGTTTTGTGAATACTGAAGTTCTGCTCCCGGGGAAGACAGGGCTTGCGCCCTGCGAGCCTCTGGTCACAAGATTTTCGTCAATTCATCAACAATTGACCTCCTTTTATGTGTTTCTGTTCAAAGACACCTCACTTCATACATAGAGCTGATTTATTAACACTGAACTCGGGCCAGCAGCGTTCTACCTCAGCCTGAAGGAAGCTTACCTAACACACCTGTTTTCGCCCGACCATTTCCCCCCCAACCCCCACCATCTCACTCCCCCTTCCCACTCCCCCATCCCACCCCAGGGCCTTCTTGCACTTAGGAACAACACTAGAAAGCCCTTCAGCACTACGTTTGAGGATCATTTTAAACAGTGCAATCACCAACACAAAGCACAAAAATACAAAAAAAGGGGGGGGGCACTAAATACACCATGCAAAGGACGCTTGTTTACAGTAGGAGAACTGAACCCGAAGGCAGAGTGTTGCCTTGTTTGACCTCAGCCGGTACACCTTTGACTCCAAATTTCACTACCTTGCACGCGGCCACCATAAATATCGATTTGGGGTTACAAATTTCAGTGAGTAGGTGAATTCGCAAATACAGAGCCCGCAAATTATAAGCAACGACTGTATCTTTGTATTTCCAGGGTTGGAAAGAATATTTGTTTTTTAGACAAGATGCAGAAAGCACAAATTATAATGGAGAAGACTGACAGGCTAGGTAAATCGACATTTAAAACTTCTGCTCGGGCCTTGCAGACGCCGCCCTGGAGCCTCCTGCACCACCCAAGCATCGTCAACGCCTCCCCGCTCTTCCATATCACTGCGGACCGTGAGCCCTTGGCCCGTGGCTCCCATGAGCTGTTGGCAAAGTTCAGTGACAGCAGAGAACTTCCGTGCTCTGACCACTGGGGAGAAAGGATAAAGGTTCCTGCTTTCACAGGATTATTCCGCAATTTCTGTGCCAGGGTGGTGACGTCACACGCCATCATGGCACTGGCGCCTAGTCCATCTATGGGGAGAAATTTGATGAGAATTGCTTCCTGAAGCACACGGGTCCTGGCATCTTGTCCAGGGCAAATGCTGGCCCCCACACAAACGGTTCCCAGTTTTTCACCTCCACTGCCAAAGCCTGAGTGGTCAGATGGCAAGCATTTGGTCTTTGGCAAGGTGAGCGAGGGCAGGAATATCGTGGATGCCATGGAGTGCTCTGGGTCCGGGAATGGCAAGACCAGCAAGAAGATCACTATTGCCGACTGTGGACGAATCTCATAAATTTGACTTGTGTTTTATCTTAACTACCAGACTGTTCCTTCTGCAGCTCAGGAGGGCACCCCTTCACCCCCATCTGCTCAAAATATCCTACAATCTTTGAGCTCTCGCTGCAGCTCTATGGGTTCCATATTTTCCTTATTCCTCTCCAAGTCTAGCTGGATCGCAGTTAAGTTTAGAATTATGAAATAAAAACTAAACAAAAAAAGACTTCTGCTTAAAAATCTATGTCAGCAGGAAACTTAAAAAAAACCTGAATCACTATATTGTCCACCTGAAATGAAGATAACACTGTATGTTAACTAACTGGAATTAAAATAAAACCTTAAAAATATATTTATGTCAGAAAAAAAGGGAAAAATAAAGTCACAGACGGGAAGAAAATAATCTGCTCCCCAGATAAACAAAGGATTAGTATCAAGGAGAGTTTTAAAGTTCCTAGAAATCAATAAAAAAAAAAAAAGACATGTAGCTATTAGAAAAATGAGCAAAAGAACAGCATTTTCTTAAAACAGACTGGCCAACAAACAAAAAGATGTTCCATCTCATTTGTAATAAAGAAATACAAATTAAAAGTGAGATTTCACAACTCTCTATATTGTACATATATACTTTATAAAACTGAAATGTGGCTAAGGAGAACTCGTGTTTCAAGCAGAAGTTTCACAACACTCAATAACAATCTTCAGTAAAATCTAAGTACATTTTTAGGTAAAATTTCCAACAAAGGCATTTAATTCCAGAGATTAGAAGCCCAAGGAAGAAAATGAGAGTTCCAGAAAAAAACCCAAGAATAGATAACCAAATGATACTCAGGAAGCAACAAAAAGACTCATCCTCGACCGCCAGGGATTGGACATTTCTTAAAACCACTATCCTGGTATTATCAGTGGATTTTCACGCGAGATAATGGGGCAGAAGCTCTATATACATCAGGTTGTACACATTCAGAGCATTCATCAAGATTTTGTTATTTTGGGGCACCTGGGTGGCTCAGTTGGTTGAGCAGCTGCCTTTGGCTCAGGTCACGACCCCGGGGCTCTGGGATCGAGCCCCACATCGGGCTCCTTGCTCAGTGGGGAGCCTGCTTCTCCCTCTGCCTGCCACTCCCCCTGCTTGTGCTCTCGCTCTTGCTCTCTCAAAAAAAAAGATTCTGTTCTTTTGGAACCACTCTCAGTATGAAATTCTGTATCAGTTGGGGTTCTATATATACATAAAACCAGTAGAAGGGGCTTATGCAAATGTGGGAGCTGGTTAAGCAGCCTCAGGAAGATGCCATACCCGGTGTTGGAGCTCGGAATCCACAGGGCAGGTAGTCAGGAGGGGAAGATGAAAACCCGGCTCAACCCCGCGAGTACAAGCTGGCCTCCCGCAAGAACGGACTGCAGACTGAGTTCCTTCTTACCGCCTCGGGTGTTAGTGATGAGGTCACCTGCAGAAGCCAGGCCCCTTCGTCAACGGAACTAAACACACATGCCTGGCCCAGGAATCAAAGAAGCTGACGGAGGATCCAGGTGGAACTTAGAGCAATTTCGGGCCACTTGACCTCAACAAAGTGACTCAGCAGCTCAGCAACAGTGTGTGCGAGCTACACTCTGGCCGCTACTTCCCTTTGCCTTCCCAATCACTCAAGAATCTCCCTGGCCACCCACATTAACCAGAAACACACAAGAACAGGAATTCTGAGAAATGCAGTTGGTCTAGCCAAACTGACACATTGCGAAGCCATCACATTCTTTAATGGTTGTGTCTCTTCAGACCCTCCTTTTGTTCTTGAGTCAGTCTTAGTAAATTACATTTTTCTCTAAGAAACAGTCCATTCGCCTATTTTTAAAAATGGTTACTCACAGTATTCTTGTGAACTATTTTTAGCAATTTCTGGTAGAGCTACAGTTATATTCCTTTTCACTCATTAATATGGTTATCTTATGTTGTTTCTAATTTAACTGCATTATGATCAGAGAATGTAGTATCTTTGTTTTTGGTTGCTTGGTATTTGAGATATGTGTTGTAGTCTAATACATGGTCAACTCTTACAAATGTTCCATGTGTGCTTGAAAATAATGTGTATTCTCTAAAACTGTACACACATACACAACTGCAATTAGGTGGATTAACTGGGTTGTCCAAAAGTCTATACACTATTTTTTTATATACATGGTCAATTCCTGACATAGGTATATTAAAAATCTCCCTCTATCAATTTTTCCTAGTTAGTTATGTCCATTTTTGCATTATAAATTTTAAAGCTGTTATTAGATGCATATACGTTTATAAATCTTCTATGCTCTTGGTGAATTGTTCCTCTTAGCATTCAGTAATGACCCCTTTTATCCCTAATGATATTTTTTGCCTCAAAGTCTATATCCTGTCTGACGTTAGTATTGCTACAGTTTTAATTATGCTCTTTTTTTTCTTGCCCACTAGGGGTTTCTATTACTTTCTTGCCAGCTCAGCTATGCATTTAAAAACCATATTTGTTATATTTTATCCATTATTCCTGGTGTGTGTGGATATCTAACCTGGCATATTGATAGATCTTAAGGTTCTCAAAATTAGCAAAAAAATGAAACACATACTCGCCTTTAAAGAGAAATCTATTATGTTTGATATGCAATCGGAATAGCAGAATAAATTGCACAGTGTATGCATAACCAAGGCCCCATCTCACCAATGAAGGTGTCAAACGATATTAACTCTAGGGCTTAATCTGAATTGTGTTCACTTTGTATCTCCAACAGACAGGAAAAAATAGGCTTTTTCAAACAATACTCTCCCACAGCTTCCACCAAGAATCTGATATGGCCCCCATCCCTCAAGTGTGGTTCCCCCACGATTGAGAATCACTGGTTTATGGTCTCCAAAGAAGATTCAGTTTAAAGATGGACATATTTTATTCCATTAATAGTTTGGTATTCCTCCTCCCATCCCTCAGTCACTCACACATGTTGCACTTTTCTCTGGTGCTCTGTGGGTTCCTTTCAACATGTTTCCAAACTGCTCTGGTCTCCTGGTCCAAGAGGCCAACACTAGGCTCAAATCCAGTTTCTACCTGGCAATGTGTGAGTCCTAACACTGGAGCCAAATCCTATCAGCTGACATTTAATCTAGTTTTACCAATTACTGCTTCATGGGGACTTCAGAAACCCACATTATACATCTGCTCATGGTATGAATGGGGGTCTACTTTTCTCTACTACTGATTATGAATTACAAGGGTTCTGGAAAGATGGCATCAGTGATTTGGGCCCAAGAGTTTACAGGAGGGAAAGCTCTAGTTCTTGTTAAGGAGGGTTGCCATCTGATTTGTTCAACTTATCCAATTTATGCACCACATAGAAAGCCTTTAGAAACTCATTAAAGTCAATGCTTCCATCTTTGTTTAAGTCCATTCTTTCAGCGAGCTCATCAATTTGAAAATCATCAATATGAATGCTGTAGTGACTATTGAAGAGTTTCCACATGGCACGAAATTCTTCCATGGAAATCAGGCCTAAAGGAATATAGAAGAATGTATGAGTGTTGGTTTTAAGACCCACCTAATGGAGGGGTGAAGTTATACTGATTGAATAGTCCTAATGAGAAGCTCACTCACATGCCCCGACCATCGAGACACTGAAGGAAACAGAAAAGTCAGACTGTTAATATAAGACACAATATGTCACATTCAAGTACCAAGTGATCCTGAGATTATTCCAAACCTGGAATGAGTATACACCAAAGGGATGAGAGGGTAGATTGTAGACTGTGGGACTCTATGTGGTATAGAAATTATAAGATCTCAAATCTAAGGGAAAGGGACATCAAAGCAGAGGGAGAAGATACCCTGGCCCCCAATAAGAGGATTGTAAACAATGGCTCTGCCATGTTTTATAGGCAATGATTTACTTTCATATTTTGATTATTGACCTTTTGGTATTCAGTGATCTCTGCAGTTGGGGATTATCCAATGAATTTTTTTTAGAGTTTGAAAATAAGTAATTGTGCCTCAAAGCCAAGCAGAAATGAATTCTCATGGCCCTGAGTCCCAAAAGCAGAATCAGAAGTGCAGGAATGATTTTTATTGCCTGGAGTAACCACTATGTTTAAATGGCCAGGAAATTATCTTTTCATCTGTGTGGTGACTTATAAAAGGAGCTATTCTTGTCTAATAGATACAGAGGCCTATAGGAACTGTAAGGTCTTGAATACAGTTTTTGGACAAACTAAAATAATAATATTAAACATGAGTTTATTCCCGCCCCCCTACCCCCGAGTTAAATCAAGTTTGGGCGAAGAATGCAACGGATGAAAACAGAGTTCTGCTTTCCGAGAAACAGATTAGCCTTTGCTTTCTACTGCTACTGAGCTAATCAACGCTCATTTACCTGAGTGATCAGAGTCAATGACATTGAAGATGATTTGCAGGTCAGTGCGGTATCTGTACAGAGTTTCAATTAGAGTAGACTGAGCCTAAAATAAAAATGTTCTAAATGTTAAAACACATAGACTTAATAACACAGGACAATTTTTAAATGTAACAAACACAAAACATTATCAGTGGTTCAAAGGATGTGATTTAGATAGAAATTTGAGAAGGCAGGCCTTCCTTGGAGGACCAACCCCTTTAGTCGAAGACAAGACCATGCTCTTGTATGTGGAAGCAAGTGCAGCTTGTGTGTGTCAGGGGACAGGGCCCACGCCAATCAGGAAGCGATGAACAATAGCCAACATTTACTGAGAACACCCAAGTGCAGGCTCTGCACTGAGAGTTTTCCATGGGTCATTTCATTGTGTCCTCAACAAGAGTCCCAAGGAACAGAATTATTATTATGTCCATTTTACAGATTAGAAAACAGAGAGGTAAAGTAAGCTTCCCAGGGTTCACATAGCTGGTAAATGAGATCTGACTCTCAGCAGCCTGAAGCCAAGGCCTATGGGTTTGGTCATCATGGTAAACTGCCTCTTAGGTGAAGCCAAAAGCCTCCTTCATGTGGGTATTTTACTCTCTCACCTGCACTTTAGTTTTCTTCTCTCTGCTCTTACTTTCTCATCTCCCCTGCAAACAATCACCCCATTCTTAGTTCCCATGAGCTCCCTTTCAGCTCAGGGTTATAACTAATTGCCAAAGGGTTGTTGACTAATAAGTATGGGGAGTGGGGTCTAATAATTCTCCCTGGGGTATTCCCATTTTAATAAGAGATTCTAAAGTTTACAAGTCTTTAAGGCATAAAATGTCACGTCAGCAAGTTTATTCCTCCACAGTTTAATAGGGACTCTGTTGAGTATTTTAAGGGGGGAGTTGAATGAAAGAATGGATGTCATATCTGTCCTTTTGCTGGACAGCATGTCAGAGAAGAATCACATATTTGACATGGATTTGCTTGCAGAAGCTTTTCCTTCTTTTTCCATGTTGCCTATCCTTAGAAGGCACAAATTTCCTGAACAGATCACGATGTACCTGGGAGAGCCCCCTTAGGCCTTTCCCAAGACTGCCACACCCATCCATTAGGTGATTCTCACTCCCCAACTTTTCTTTTTTCTTTTTTTTGTTTTTTTAAGATTTTATTTATTTGTCAGAGAGATAGACAGAGAGCACGAAAGCAGGGTGAGGAGCAGAGGGAGAAAAAGACTCCCGATGAGCAGGGAGCCCAATGTGGGGCTCGATCCCAGGACCCTGAGCCACCCAGGCACCCCGTCCCCAACTTTTCAAAGGACTGAGTTCCTTTTATAGGTCGTCTGAAGGGTGTTTTGCTCCAGCCAGGGTTTTTTTTGTTTTTTATTTTTTATTTTTTTAAAGAGAGAGAGCACATGTGTGAGGGGTGGGGAGGGGCAGAGGGAGAGAGAGAATCCTAAGCAGACTCTGCACTGAACTTGGAGCCCGATGTGGGGCTCAATTCCAGGATCCATGAGATCATGACCTGAGCTGAAACCAAGAGTCTGAGGCTTAACTGACTAAGCCACCCAGGTGCCCCATTGCTCCAGTCAGGTTTTAACTGGGGCCCCATTTCACTTGCCTCTTTCACAGGTTTCTGAATGTGGATATCCTGGAAGCTGGACATGTAGTTAATATTTCCATTGTTGTCTGTGGTTACCAGATGAGAACTCAGGGATCTCCATGGTAAGTTCAGCCCCAAAATGTTCTCCATGGAAAAAGCCCACTGGCCCATAGAAAGTTTTCCTAACAACAACAACAAAGCCCATATCATTGGTTGATAATTTGGTAAAGAAATGCAACCTACTTGGCAGAGCCAGGGAGCAGCCTGGGGTTTTGAGGCCTGGGTGCCTCCTGCTCTCCTTTGTGACTTGTCCCAACAGGTACCACAGCTCTGGTATATAATATAGTAATTCCACACTTCTATACATCACCCAGTGCTCATCACGACCAGTGCCCTCCTTAATCCCCATCACCTGTTTCCCCTATCCCCCCCAGCCCCTCCCCTCTGGTAACCAGCAGTTTGTTCTCTAGAGTTAAGAGTCTGTTTCTTGATTTGTCTCTCTCTCTCTTATTTTATCCTTTTGTTTGTTTTGTTTCTCAAATTTCACATGAGTGAAATCATATGGTATTTGTCTTTCTCTGACTTATTTCACTCAGCATAATACTCTCTAGCTCCATCCATGCCCTTGCAAATGGCAAGATTTCATTATTTTTTATGGCTGAGTAATATCCCATTGTGTATATATACCACTATTCTTTATCCATTCATCAATTGATGGACACTTGCATTGCTTCCCTATCTTGGCTGTTGTAAATAATGCTTCTAAAAACATAGGGGTGCGTGTATCCCTTTGAATTAGTGTTCTCGTATTCTTTGGGTAAATACCCAGTAGTGTGATTGCTGGTTTAAAAGGTATTTCTATTTTTAACTTTTTGAGGACCCTCCATACTGTTTTCCACAGTGGCTGCACCAGTTTGCATTCCCACCAACAGTGCTCAAGGGTTCCTTTTTCTCCACATCCTCGCCAACACCTGTTGTTTCTTGTGTTATTGATTTTAGCTATTCTGAGAGGTGTGAGGTGATAGCTCATTGTGGTTTTGATTTGCATTTTCCTGATGGTAAATGATGATGAGCATCTTTTCATGTGTCTGTTGGCCATAATTCTTTTTTTAAAATTAGAGTTCAATACATACAGAAAAGTTCACAAAACAAATCCAGAGCTCAGCGAATTTTCACAAAGGGAGTTCCTATGTAGCCACCACCAAGGACAAGAAATAGAACATTGCCAAATACCATATGATTTCATTCATGTGAAATTTAAGAAACAAATGAGCAAAGGGGAAAAAAAAAGAGAGAGGCAAACTAAGAAATAGACTCTTAACTGTAGAGAACACACTGATGGTTACCAGAGGGGAGATGGGTGGGGGGATGGGGTTAAACAGGTGATGAGGACCGGGTGATGTGTAAAAGTGTTGAATCACTATATTGTACACCTGAAACTAATATTACACTGTATGTTAACTGGAACTTAAATAAAAACTCAAAGTTAAAAAAAAAAAAAAAAAGAAATAGAACATTGCCAATATTCAAAAGGCCCCCTTGTGGCCTCTCACAATTACTACCACCTCCCACTTTACTAAGGAGAGCTGCTATCTTGATTTCCAACACTATAATTAACATTTTGTCTTTTTTGATCTACATGTAAATGGAATCATGCAGTATATATTCTGGGGGGAGTCTGACTTCTTTTGGTAACACTAAGTTCATGAGAGTCAGCCATGTTGTTCCATTCAGTTTTAGCATCTTCATTGTCATTGGTGTATAGTATTCCATGGTGTGAATACACACAATTTATATATCCATTCTCCTGTTGGTGGACATTAGGGTTATCCCCAGTTTGGGGCTATTACAAACAGTGTTGCTAAGAACGTTTCTGTACATGCCCTTTTGGTGCATTGAACCTATAGCTCAATTTGAAGAGAATTTATATCTTGACAACTTCAGCCTTTGCACACAGTAATATCCACCCATTTATTTCAGTCCTTTTTAATTTCTCTTAATAATATTTTAGAAATCTCATACATCAATCATTAGGTTCCTTCCTCAGTCCTTGCTTATCTGCTGTGAATGGTATCTTTTAAGATTTTCATTATCTAAGAGTTAAGTCCTAGCTATGTCAGTTATCAGTTTATTCCTACTCAGCTCCAAATCTACCCTTCTTTGCCCTGTTTTGTGATACTGGAACTGAACCCTGTAAATATTTCTCTTTTGGCAGCTGGTATAATGTCAGTAGAGGGTACAGGAAGAATGCTCTAAGACTTGGCAGAAGAAATACTTCTGGTATGCTTTCCTTCTTGCTTTTACAGCACAGCATGGTTGCCAGAGGTGTGTGGGAAATGCACTGGCACCCACTATCTAGTCAATTTCACTGACACCACAGAGAATAGCTTCCTTGCCAGGAGTGTGTTGGAGACTCAGTGGTACACAGCCCAAAGAGGGTTTTGCTGGCACCCCAGTGGGTAGCTCCACCCTCTTCAGTCCTGGTTCACCAGCTATAGACCAGCTTTGACATGAGACACCTCAGTGAACTTCCACCCCATCTAGTGGGCCATAGTCACTCCCTCTCCAATGAGATCTGAATCTTAGCCTTGGTGACTGTAGGGGACTCTTCCAAGTTTGTTCCTTCCTTGGGTACACTTTCTCAGCCATAGAGATAGTAGCTGCTCTCTATAATTTCTATTCCTATATTCTTTAGAGTTCTCTTTTAGCCATTTTAGTAATTAATCACCTTTTACTAGTTAATAATTCTTTATATTAAATTTCTCTGTTCAAATTATTGCTGTGGTTTCTGGCTCAACAGACTCTAACCAATATACTAATATATGGAAATGCAATCAATTTCTGTGTATTGACCTTGTGTTCTACAACTTGTTAAATTCACTTATTAATTCTAAGAGTTTTTCTGGGTCTTTATTTAGGTTTTCTGTATACTCAATTATGTTGTCTACACATAGTAACATTTTATTTCTTCCTTTCTAATTCTTATCATCTTATTTAACTTGCCTTATTGCAGTAGCTAGCATCCCTAGTACAATGTTGAACAATCTTGAGAGTAGATATCTGTATTCGTTTCCTACTGCTGCTGTAACAAATTACCACAGACTTAGTGGCTTAAAATAACACAAATTTATTCTCTTAAAGTTCTGGAGATTAGAAGCCCAAAATCTGTTTGCTGGGCCAAGTCAAAGTGTCAGCAGGGCTGGTTCCTTTAGGAAACTCTGATGGGAGGATCCATTTTCTTTCCCTTTTCAAATTCTAAAGGCTGCCTATATTCCTTGACTTGAGGCACCTTCCTCCGTTTTCAGGGTGTATCATTTCAATATTTGCTTCCACCAGCACATCACCTTCTCCTCTGACTCTGACTCCTCCTACATCCCTCTTATAAGGACCATTGTGACTATATCAATTCCACCTAGATAATGCAAGACTGTCTCCCTAGGTCAAGATCATTATTTTAATCACATCTGCAAAATCCCTTTAGCCATATAAGGTAACATTCAGAGATTCTGGGGATTAGGATGTAGACATATTGGGGGATGGGAATTATTCAGCATCTTTCTCTCATTCCCAATCTTAGAAGAAAGGGTTTCAACATTACTTTGTCAAGTGTGCTTTTTTCTATAGGCTTCGTTAGATACCCTTTATGAGACTAAGGAAATTTGCTTCTATTTTTAGTTTTCTAAGTGTTTTCTAAAGCCATGACACCAAGGTAAAATACATCCAACAAGTTTTTCTTATTTTGAGAGAATCATGACTTCTTTAATTTTGTTAAAGCAGTGAATTACACTGATTGATTTCTGAATGTTAAAACAACCTAGAATTCCTAACATTTCTAGAATAAACCAAACTTGGTTGTGATATATTAACCTTTTGCTAATATTTCATTTAGGATTATTTCATCTAAATTTATGAGTGAGATTAGCTGTTAATTTTCCTTTTCCATAAAGTTTTTGTGAGGTTTTGGTATCAAGATTATGCTGACCTCCTAAAATAATCTTGGAAATATTCCTTCTATTTACATTCTCTGGAAGAGTTTGTGTAATACTGGTTTTATTCTTAAATGTATATTATAATGGCTAATGAAGCTATCTGAACTAAGCTTTCTTTGGGGCAAGTTTCAAAATTTCAGATCCATTTTCTTCAACAGTTATAGGATTGTTTAGATTTTCTATTTCTTTTTGTGTCAGTTTTGGTAAGGGAGTGTGTGTGTGTGTGTGTGTGTGTGTGTGTACATATTTTAGGAATTTGCCCATTTAATCTAAAGTATTAATTACTAGCATAAGAGTTTCTATAATACATCTTATGAACTTTTTAATATCTGTAAAATCTGTAGCAACGTCTCTCCTTTCAATTCTGGCATTGGTTATTTCTCTGTCTCCTTACCAATGTTTTATCAACTTTATCAGTTTCTTAAAGAATCTTTATTTTTTTACTTTGTTGATCATAGTATCGCCTTTTACTTTTTTTTATCTTTTATTTGTTTAAAGATTTTATTTATTTATTTGACAGAGAGAGACCGTGAGAGAGGGAACACAAGCAGGGGGAGTGGGAGAGGGAGAAGCAGGCTTCCTGCTGAGAAGGGAGCCTGATGCGGGGCTCAATCCCAGGACCCTGACCTGAGCCGAAGGCAGACGCTTAACGACTGAGCCACCCAGGCGCCCCCATAGTTTCATCTTTTAAAATATTAAAATATATGCATGTTCAGTGCTTCTCTAACTTGCATCTTATAAATTTCAATATGTTGCATTTTCATTTTCATTCAGTTGCAGAATTCTAATTTCCACTGTTATTTCTCCTTTGATCTAAGGGTTATTTAGAAGTGTATTTCTCATTTCTAAGCCCCAGGTAATTTTCTGGCTACCTTCTGTCAACTTACTATGACAGAAAATTTATTCTGTATGTTTCTCATACAAAATTTGTTGAGATTTGCTTTCTGTTCCAGTTTATAATCAATTTTTGTAAGTGTTCCATTTGTGCTTGACTAAAATGTGTATTCTGCAATGTTGGGTGCAGGGCTCTATATACGTCTTTTAGGGAAAGTCTGCTAATCTTTTTGTCAGTTAATTCTTTTAGTTAAAGGAGTATTAAAATCTCTCAATATCATGGTAGATTTTTCTACTTTTATTTGTTCTGTTAATTTTTTTAAACATATTTTTGAGGCTATATTAAGAAGTACGTACACATTTAGAATGGATTCAATTGGCAAACTGAATACTTTATCATTATAAAGTGTCCCTTTTTATTTCTAGTAATGTATATTTCCTTGAAGTCTACTTTGTCTAATATTAATAGAGCTGTTACAACTTTGGTTTTGTTAGTATTTTCATGTTATATCTTTTTCTAAATTTTATTTTCAACGTTTGGTATATATGATTCTACTGTCTACTGGCTTCTATTGCAACTATTGAGAAGTCTGGTAACAGTCCAGTTGTTTTCTCTTTGTAGCAACGTGTATTTCTATCTGCTTTTAAGATATTTTTATTTGCTGTTGGTGCTCTGTAGTTTCTCCACAAGTGTGTATAGGTGTGGATTTAATTTTTTTATCCTGTTTGAGAAACACTGTGCCTCTCTACCTGTGAATGTGAGTTGCTCATCAGTTCTGGAAAAGTCTCAGCCATAATCATGTCAAATATATCCTCTCTTATAGTCTCTCCTCCTGGGACTCCTAGTAGATGTATGTTAGACTTTATTTTACTGTCCATAACTCTTAATCTTTCTAATTCTTTCTTAAGCAATGTCTAATCTTCTGTTTAACCCATCCACTATGTTTTTTTAAACAAGTATATTTTTATAGCTATTTGGTTCGTCAAATCATTTTCAAATGCATGTCTGCAATTCCATCTTTTATTTCTTTAAACATTTCTTAGTTGTTTGTTTGTTTTTCATTTCTTAGTTGTTTGTATTTGTATTTGATAATTCTAATATCTGATGTCTTTAGGGAACTAAATCTGTAGTTTGTTGTTTCTGTTGACTCTTAACTCATGGTAGCTTGTCTCCTTGTGTGTTTCATGATCTTTGGTTATGAGCTCGTGGTTGATCTTAATCTCTGGATATATTAGTGGCCAAAATTAGGGATGCATCCCTTGAACATGGATTTGCATTTGTTTGCCAAGACTCAGGGGGCACTACAAACATAGGCCTACCATAGCCACTTTGAGGGCCCAGGCTTAATGCAGAAGTCTCAGATCCAGCTTATCCATCTTTCTATTATCCCATGGTTTAGTCTTAGGATTGAGTGTTACACCAAAATTAGCATTTGCCCTCAGGACAATCTACCATTTTGTGCTTGCTTGTTGCTCCATGCCCCCACATGTGGTTTCAAAAAACCTTTCATGAGGAAATAGAATGTTTCCTAGATATATATCTTACTGTGAGGCTGGTAGATGCATTAAAATTCTGTATCCTCTAGAATCTAGCTGTTTCTTAGGAGGGCCTTACAGAGTATCTAGTCTGAGATACTACCAGAATAGAAGGGTTGTTGTTGTTTTAAGTTGAAAGAAACTTACTGCAAAGGAGGAATATGGCTTTTTTCAAGTACATAATGGATTACATTTTATTTTTATCTCTGTCTTTCCTTGCTAGTAAAAATAGAAAACTGAAATCTTAAGGGAGCAAAAAAAAAAAAAAAGAGAAAAAGAAAAAGAAAACTGATTTGTATGTAAGCTGGTATGTTAAGAAATAGTAAGCATTACATAATTTTATTACCTGATTTACTGCAGTCTTGAAGTTGGAAAGCATGAATGAGGTCAGTTTTTCGTGAAATCATTCTCTCTTTCAATATCCTGATGGCACTACTTTCAATAACATTCACCCTACGGTAACAAAACAATTATTAGGTGAAAGACACATAAATCATCCCATTGTGTCTTGTTTTAATGTGTTATATTACCACTTACCAGATTCTACTTCAAATGAATTGCCTAACTTCACACATACCCTGTTATTAGGTAGTCAGTGTTTGTGTATGTACATATGTGTGTGACTGTATTGTGAAATTTTAAAAGGATTACCACTGGTGTTTTCTTTTTGATTTCAAAGATTTACATGAGCAATTGATGTCTGAGCATATCCGAGATAATTTTAAAAAACAAGAAAAATAAAGAGGGACTTGCTATAGCAGACATTAAAATTTACTGTGAAGTTGCTAAAACCAAACAATAGGTATTGACACAAGAGAAGACAGATCCATGAACAGAATAGAAATTGCATAAACTTAATGAACTATATATGGGAACAGTACATATGACAAAGAAGGTATTACAATTCAGTAGAAAAGGGCTATTTTTTTAAACATGGTGCTAGCTAGCATAGTTATCTGTCTAGATGCTAAACCACCTCGACCATTTACAAAAATAAATTCTAAATGAAGGAGGAAGAGAGAAATAAAGTAGCTATGAGTCATATACCCCCTCCCCAAAAAAGCAAAATGGCAGAGGTGGCAGACCCAACTGTATGTTTTCTACAGGAGATACACTTTAGTTTCAAAGATACAAAGAGCTTGAAAGAACAACAACAACAGAGATGTATTATGCAAACAGCAACCATAAGAGAGTTAGAGTGGCTATACTGATAGTAGAATAGACTTGAAGACAAAATATATTACTAGAGATAAAGGATATTTTATAATGATAAAAGAGTCAGACAAGATCACTGTAAACATATATGACCCTAACAACAGAGCCCAAAACTATATGAAGCAAAAACAGACAGAATTGAAGGGAGAAATAGACAATTTAACAATAATAGTTGGGGACTTCAATATTCTACTTTCAATAATGGATAGAACAATGAGGCAGGAAAAAAAGGATATAAAAGACTTGAACAGCACTATAGACCAACTAAATTTAATAGATATGTATAAAACACTCTACCCAACAACGGCAGAATATACATTTTTCTAAAGCACATATAGAACATTCTCCACAATAGATCCTATGCTAGGCCACAATATAAGTCTCAATAGATTTAACATGATTAAAATAATACGAAGTATCTTTTCTGACTACAAAGGGACTAAATTAGAGATTAATAACAGAAAGAAATTTGGGGAAATCATAAATACAAGGAAATTAAACAACACAATCCTAAATAACCAATGGGTCAAAGAAGAAATCACAAGAGAAATTAGAAAATACTTTAAGATAAATGAAGATTAAAACACAATATGTCAAATCATATGAGACACAACCAAAACAGTGCTTAGAGGAAAATTTACAGCTACGAATGCCTATATTAAAAAAGATCTCAAATCGATAACATAATCTCTGCCTTCAAAAACTAGGAAAAAAAAGAGTAAACCGAAAGAAAGCAGGACAGAAAGAATAAAGAATAGAGGAAAACTATAGGCATAAATGTTTTATAGTACTTCACAGGTATTTTTACATATTGAAGGTTTGTGGTAACCCTGCACTGAGCAAGTCTATCGGTGCCATTTTTCAAATAGCATTTGCTCACTTTGTGTCTGTGTGTCACATTTTGGTAATTCTTGCAATACTTCAAACTTTTCCATTATTATTTTATTTGTTATGGTGACCTATGATCAGTGATCTTTAATGTTAGTATTGTAATTGTTTGGGGGTGCCACAAACTATGCCCATATAAGAGAACCAACCTAATTGATAAATATTGTATCTGTTCTGACTGCTCTACTGACCAGTCATTCCTCCATCTCTCTCCCTCTCCTTGAGCCTCCCTATTCTCTGAGATACAACAATATTGAAAGTAGACCAACTAATAACCCTACAATGGCCTCTAAGTGTTCCAAGTGAAAGGGAGTCATAGGTCTCTCACTTCATATTTTTTAAGTTTATTTATTTATTTTTAGTAATCTCTACACCCAATGTGGGGCTCAAACTCACAACCCCGAGATCAAGAGTCACATGCTCTTCTGACTGAGGCAGCCAGGTGCCCCTCTCACTTTAAATCAAAAGCTAGAAATGATTACGCTTAGTGAAGAAGGCATGTTGAAAGCCAAGAGAGGCTGAAAACTAAGCCTCTTGTGCCAAAAAGTTAGCCAAGTTGTTAATGCAAAGAAAAAAATTTTGAAGGAAATTAAAAGTGCTATTCCAATAAACTCAAATGAGAAGAAAGTGAAACAGCCTTATTGCTGATATGGAGAAAAGTCTAAGTGGTCTGGTTAGAAGATCAAAGCAGCCATAATATTCTCTTAGGCCAAAGCCTACTCCAGAGCAAAGTCCTAACTCTCTTCAATTCTATGAAGGCTGAGAGAGGTGAAGAAGGCGGATGAAAGGTTTGAAATTAGCAAAGGTCAGTTCATGAGGTTTAAGGAAAGAAGCCATCTCCATAATATTAAAGTTGAAGGTGAAGCAGCAAGTGCTGATGTAGAAGCTGTAGCAAGTGATTCAGAAAATCTGGCTAAAATAATTAATGAAGGTGGCTCCACTAAACAACAGATTTTCAATGCAGATGAAACAGCCTTCTATTGGAAGAAGATGCCATCTAGGACTTCCATAGGTAGAGAGGAGAAATCAATGCCTGGCTTCAAAGCTTCCAAGGACAGGCTGACTCTCTTGTTAGGGGCTAATGCAGCTGGTGACTTTAAGTTGAAGGCAATGTTTTGTGGGTTTTTTTAAAGATTTTATTTATTTATTTGAGCGAGAGAGAGAGAGAGCGAGAGCACGAGCAGGGGCAGAGGCAGAGGGAAAGGGAGAAGCAGACTCCCCACTGAGCAGGGAGCCTGACATGGAGCTCAACCCCAGAACCCCGGGATCATGACCTGAGCCAAAGGCAGACACTTAACTGACTGAGCCACCCAGGCGCCCTGAAGGCAATGTTTATTTACCATTCTGAAAATCTTAGGGCCTTTAAGAATTATGCTAAATCTGCTCTGCCTGTGCTCTATAAATGGAACAACAAAGCCTAAATGACAGCACACTTGTTTTACAACATGGTTTAGTGAATATTTTAAGCCCGTTGTTGAGGCCTACTGCTCAGAAAGAAAGATTCCTTTTAAAACATGACTGCTCAGTGACAATGCACCTGGTCACCTGAGAGCGCTGATGAGATGGACAGTGAGATTCATGGTTTGTGACTGCTAACACAATATTCATTCTGCAGCCCATGGACCAAGGAGGAATTTAGACTTTCAAATCTTATTATTTAAGAAATACATTTTATGCTTTTCTGTCTGGGCTGCCGACATGCCATCCAGACTGAGGAAGACCCGGAAACTTCAGGGCCACATAAGCCACGGCCACGGCCGCATCGGCAAGCACCAGAAGCACCCAGGAGGCCGGGGTAATGCTGGTGGCATGCATCACCACAGGATCAACTTCGACAAATATCACCCAGGTTACTTTGAAAAAGTTGGTATGAGACATTACCACTTAAAGAGGAACCAGAGCTTCTGCCCAACTGTCAACCTTGATAAACTGTGGACCTTAGTCGGTGAGCAGACATGGGTAAATGCCGCCAAAAACAAGACTGGAGCTGCTCCTATCATTGATGTGGTGTGATCGGGCTACTACAAAGTGTTGGGAAAGGGAAAACTCCCCAAACAGCCTGTCATCATGAAGGCCAAATTCTTCAGTAGAAGAGCAGAGGAGAAGATTAAGGGTGTTGGGGGTGCCTGCGTTCTAGTAGCTTGAAGCTACATTTGGGGGGGTAGGTTCATTAAATGCTAACAAGAGCTTTTCTCTTCTGGAAAAAAAAAAAAAGAAATACATTTTATAAGGCTATAGCTGCCATAGATAGTGATTCCTCTGATTGATCTGGGCAAAGTAATTTGAAAACCTTCTGAAAAGGATTCACCATTCTAGATGCCATTAAGAACATTCATGATTCATTGGAAGAGGTCAAATATCAACATTAACAGGAGTTTGGAAGAAGTTGATTCCAAACCTCATGGATGACTTTGAGGGGTTCAAGACTTCAGTGAAGGCAGTCACTGCAGATGTGGTGGAAACAACAAGAGAACTAGAATTAGAAGTTGAGTCTGAAGATGTGACTGAATTGCTGCCATCTCAGGATAAAATTTTAATGGATGACGAGTTGCTTCTTATGGATGAGCAAAGAAAATGGTTTCTTGAGATGAATCTACTCCTGGTGAAGATGCTGTGAAGATTATTGAAATGACAACAAAGGATTTAAAATAGTATATACATTTAGCTGATAAAGCAGCAGCAGGGTTTTGAGAGGACTGACTCCAATTCTGAAAGAAGTTACTGTGGGCAAAATGCTGTCAAACAGCATCGCATGCTACAGAGAAATTGTTCATGAAAGGAACAGCCAATCAATTTAGCAAATTTCATTGTTGTCTTATTTTAAGGAATTGCCAAACCTGCCCCAGTGTTCGCCAACCATCACCCTGATCAGTCAGCAGCCATCAAGATTGAGGCAAGACCCTCCACCAGCAAGATTATGACTGGCCAAAAGTTCAGATGATGACTACTATTTTTTTTAACAATAGAGTATTTTAAAATTAAAGTATATACATTGTTTTTTAGAAATGCTATTGCACACTTAATAGACTACAGTATAATGTAAACATAACTTTTATATGCACTAGGAAACTGAAAAATTCTCCTGACTTGCTTTATTGTAAGATTTGCTTTATTATGGTGGTCTGAAACTGAACCTGCACTATCTCTGAGGTGTGCCTGTAAATGAAATAAAAAACAGAAAAACAATAGAGAAAATCAATGAAGAAAAAAATTGCTTCTTTGAAAAGATCAATAAAATTGACAAAATTTTAGCTAGACTGGCCAAGAAAAAAAGAAAAAAGTACTCAAATTTCTAAAATCAAGAATTAAAGAGGGGTCATCACCACTGACCTCACAGAAATAAAAGATTA